CACACACTTGATGTCAGCATCGCCGCGCAGTAAAAGTTACGCAAAGAAGTTCAAGTTTGGGGATACAACGGGTACTAACTATTTTTAAATTCCGAACTACTCTTCAAATCTATACCACATTGTATCAATCGCGGACGAAACTTCACCTGTGTCCAATATTAAATAACTAACTTTGCGTAATTATTATGAAAGCGATATATTACAATGTTGAAATTTTTAGAGCTGGTACAACATTGTAAACAACTTTGCGTAATTAGAAAAGCAGCGCACTAAGTAAACGACCTCAAAATATACAAGTTTCCGTACAGCACCGTCAGAACTAATAACAATTTTACAAGATCGACGCGCGGAGCATGAAAGAAAATGATTGCTAAGACAACGCGCCTGTTCAGTGCGTGACTTGGGGGTCAAACTTCGGTCAACACACACTTAAAGTCAGCATCGCCGCGCAGTAAAAGTTACGCAAAGAAGTTCAAGTTCAATTGCACCCCAAAATGATGTCGTTGATCACTTAGTCTTTTGCAAAATATTATAACTAGTTTCCAAGCTTTTGATGCAGCCAGATTTATTTAACTTTGTGGAAATATAATTTTTAATTTCCCAGTCCTTTCTGTTCATTCATTGTCTTGACAATAAGTGTGAATTGCTGTGCGAGCTTTTCGTACCCGACCGCTGTCAGACGGCGTCATGAAATCTATGCATAAAAGGCGGGCGACCTGCGGCTGTTTGATTTCCTACTGTCTCCTAAGCTAGCGATTGGTTATTAATATATTACCCGATGCACTTGTAAATCGGACAGTCATACCGCAATTGTGTTGAAACATTTTTGGAGCAGTAAGTAACGTCAGAATATTGTTTAAAATAAAATATTCCATCCCAATCAAATCTAGGTAAAAAGGTCAAATTGCGTGCATATAATTATAGATACTAGTAGTTAAAAGCTAAATATATTTGAATGTTTGACGGCTATTCAACGTTTGTGCAAACCAGAATAAAAAAGGTAGTGTATACAAATAGCGATATGACTGAGATATCATGGCATTTGTTTACAATATTGTACCGGCTCTAGTACTAGTATTTGACACAGATGAAGTTGTTCGCGAACGATACTGAGTGGTATAGATTTGAAGAGCGGTTCAGAATTTTCTTTGTATATCCCCAAACATTTTGACTACTCCTGTGCCGGTGACCAGTGTTTGGGCGAGCGGTCGATGTTTTCAATAAGCGAGCGAGAGAAAGAAAAACGGTAAAAATGTGGTCGTTTTCCGGTCGGAAAATGCAGCGCTGTCGGGAATTAAGCGATCGTTTAAAAAGGGAGAAGTTGGGCAAAATGAGTACTGTGGTTCAAGTGATATTAGCATATTTCTCATTTAGTTTTAACTCGTGCAATATTTATTCACTCAC